AATCCCAATGGCAGAGCCTTAACCCCAATAGCACAGCCCTAACCCCAGTGGCAAATCCCAATCCCAATGGCACAGTCCCAACCCCAATGGCACAGTCTCAACCCCAATGGCACAGCACTGTCCCAATGGCACAGCCTTAACCCCAATGGCAAACCCCAATAGCACAGCCCCATCCCAATTGCACAGTCCTGTCCCAATGGCACAGCCTTGACCCCAATGGCAAATCCCAATGGCACAGCCCCATCCCAATGGCACAGCCCTGTCCCAATGGCACAGCCTTGACCCCAAGGCAAACCCCAATCCCAATGGCACAGCCTTGACCCCAATGGCAAATCCCAATGGCACAGCCCCATCCCAATGGCACAACCCCATCTACTGCCACCCATTCTCATCCCTTTCAGATCAAACTGAAGGAGATCTTCGAGACACCCTCGGAGATTGCTCTGGTGCTGGAATTGGTGACGGGAGGAGAGCTCTTTGACAGGTAGGGGACGCAGCCCCAGGGGAGGGTGAGGATGGAACGGGGCTGAAGGACAGCCCTATGGGGTTGGGGATGGGGGGTGAGGGCACGTCTTGACTGCTGTGCACCCACAGGATCGTGGAGAGGGGCTTCTACAGTGAGCGGGATGCGGCCCACGTGGTCAAGCAGATCCTGGAGGCTGTGTTGGTAACGTCTCCGTGTCCCCATTGTGGTTTGGGGGCATCGCTGTGGGTCTGGGAGCATCGCTGCAGGCCCAGAGCCGTGCTGCCTGGGGAAGGTCACTGCCACGCAACCTGGAAATGGGGTTTCCATGGCAACAGATAGGTTTTAAAAATGGAAACTCTGAACGGGAAACGTCCTTCCTCTGCTGCCCTGCTAAAGCCTTTCCTCCCCCCATCCCCGCAGTATTTGCATGAGAATGGAGTGGTGCACCGGGACCTGAAGCCCGAGAACCTGCTGTATGCAGACCTGTCCCCCGACGCTCCCCTGAAGATCGGTGGGTGCTGAGCAGAGGGGCTGCACCCCGGGGCTTCCCAGCCTGGTGGGCACCCATCAGTCTGACCCCTCCCTGTGTGTCCCCAAGGTGACTTCGGGCTCTCCAAGATCGTGGATGAGCAGGACACCATGAAAACCGTCTGTGGGACACCGGGGTACTGCGGTGAGCAGTGGGGGTGTGGGGCAGAGGAACATGGGGGGGGGGGAAGGGGGGCCTCCTGCCTGGCACTCCTCTTCAGTCTGCCCCACAAAGAGCCCAGAATTGGGGGCTGGAAGGAGATGGGGACAGGTGGCAAAAGTCTGTGATGCACAAATCCTGTTTGTCATCAGTCCCCAACACAAATCAGCTCCGTGCTGAGCTCTGCACGCAGGAGGTGCCCGCGAAGGGTTTTCCTCCTGGATTTTAACCCCCATCTACTGCTTCCAGCCCCTGAAATCCTGCACGGCTGCCCCTACGGCCCTGAGGTGGACATGTGGTCGGTGGGTGTCATCACCTACATCCTGTGAGTATTGCTTATGGGCTGTGAGCCCCTGGCTGTGCCGTGTCCCTGCGTGGGGCCTGGGGGCACTGGGGATCCTCTGCTCCTTCCAGGCTCTGCGGGTTTGAGCCCTTCTTTGACCCACGTGGGGACCAATACATGTACAGCCGCATCCTCACCTGCGACTACGAGTTCGTGTCCCCGTGGTGGGACGAGGTTTCCCTCAATGCCAAGGACCTGGTGAGTCACTGAGCTTCAGGGCAGAGCTTGAGGCTGTGCAAAGCGAGTGGATCGGGTGTAAGAATGACAGAGGCAAGAGTCAAATAGAGCCAAATGGAGCGGTGTCACGGTCAGTGCTTCTCTGCTCCTGTGCATCTGTATTCCTTGCAAACGAGAGGCTGTGAGTCCACCAAGAGCATTGCACAGGGGTTGGGCGCGGGGGGCACTCGACAGATGACCATTTTGGGGTTTTTTTTTTGCACGTTGAAATCGGCCACAGGTCAGAAAACTGATCGTCTTGGATCCCCAGAAGAGACTGACGGTCTATCAGGCTCTGGAGCATCCCTGGGTGACTGGAAAAGCAGCCAAGTTTGCCCACATGGACAGCACACAAAAGAAGCTGCAGGAATTTAACGCCAGGAGGAAACTGAAGGTAAAACCTGACGGATCCCTCCCACTTTCCTCCTCTTGCACAAAACTTGTCCCATCCATGGGCTGCGCTTGCTGGGGCTGAGCAATCCCTGCCCTGAGCAGCAAAATGCTGAGTGGGGGCAGCCTGGGGGTTGAACCAGGTGTGTGTGTGCTTCCTACTGATGCCATCACGCTCTGCCTGCAGGCTGCCATGAAAGCCGTGGTGGCTTCCAGCCGCTTGGGCAACCACGGCCACCACGACTGCTCCAGGAACCGGGGGGGCTCCCAGGGGAGCACTGAGGCCACCGCTGCATCCGAGGAGCTGGAGGCATTCCCTGCTGTGCCCAAAATGCCCATCAACGGGGCGAGCTGCAGGAGCTGATGGTGCCCGGCTCCCAGCAGCAGCGCGGGGGGCTCTGGGGCAGCCATGGGGATGGCAGGACGGGGTGCATCCCTGCGCGGTGTCCTGGTGCTGCTGTGGCTGTGCGTCCATCCCCACCCCGCAGGGAAGCAGCGCTGGCGACTCCTGTCTTCCAACAACCCAACAGCTTTGGCTGCTGTGGCGTTAGGAGTGTCCCGGCTGCTTAAAAACGAGGAGCAAACAGCAGGGAAAAAAAAAGAAAAAAGGATTTCTTTCACCTTCCCAACAAAGGCAGCGAGTTGTCGCCGTTCTCTCTGCAACAGAGTTCTGTAAATAGTCCTCAAAGGCATCACTGCAGGGGGGGGGCGGCCAGCAATGCGCGCTCGGTCTCCAGCCCCATTGCACCCACCGGCCCCACTGCAGAAGGGGGGAGGGGAGGGTCGGACCTCCCCCCCAAAACCGCCTGCCTGCAGCACCTCGGTGTCTTTAGGTGGTAGATGAGCTCTGTTTGATTCGTGCTTTCGTGACGCTGCGGTTTCATTCGTCCTGGTGTTCGGTGTGTGCTGTGTGGGAGCAGCAGGGCTGGCGGTGAGGAGGGCTGCCTTGGTTGCGTTCTGACAGACGTTTTAATGAAGAACAATGCAATTATTTCTACGGGGCAGCGTCAGGCTTTGTAACACGGTGCTGTTGTTTCTTCATTGGGGACGAGGAGTTTATACTGCATTTCTGTTGGGTTTTTTAAGACTAATGAAATCCGAGGACAAACCTCTTGAAATGAGATTTTTTTAGGCATTTCTTTACCAAGCTGCAGGATGAACATTTGTGGATTTTAATACAGAAGAAGAAATGAGACAGGAAAAGCCATACTATGCGTGCTGGAGAGAAGGGACTGCAGACAAAAGGTACAGCTTTGCTTAAGCTGAGAGCTGCAATTGCAGACACAGTCTGGAGAGGGTTGGTTGGTAGATGCAGAGCTGTAACCAGGGATGCAGGAAGGGAAACGTAACACAGTGACTTTTGTACTTATTTACAGCACAAACAGAAATCCTAAGGATGACAGTAAGGGCTGATCCACGCTTTATTGTGCTCGTTTGTGTTTAGGGTGCTCATAAAGCCAATTACAGAGGAGAGATCAGATGCATGAGAGAATGGACAAAGGAAATGATGCCCATTTTTGTTATTTCCTCTCTTCCTTCCCTGCTTGAAGACAGGGGGCAGAATGCAGCGCTGCTCTGAGCTCTGCTCTCCATCCTGCAGATGTGCAAACCCTATGGAAGTGTCCATTCTCAACAATGGGGCCTGAACTTCACGTCTGCTATTTATTAAATCAGGTATTAACATTAATTCATACACTCTGACGTGAAGAACAGATTTAAAACATCGTGCAGGAGAAGGCCAGGGAGCTCAGCACAGGAGCAGGGACATCGCTCTGCCCTCAGACTGCTCCTGGTAGCAGAAAACAAAGCACCACTGAGATAACGGGTAATAAAGTGTCATCCTAGGGAGACAACCCAGGGGAAATTGTAGCCAGAAAAAGAAGGAAAAAAAAAAGGGAGTTTGTCTCTTCTGTCAACAAAGTATTATTCCACAAACATCTGTACTTGGAGGTAGGGAAAGCAGTGTCAATCCTATGGGACACGCCATTTCGGTCTGTATGCTGTTTTCAGAATGTGTTTTAATAACTTATTTCTTCGGTATAGTGGTTACATTTTCAATATCGCAGGTATTTATAAAAGAGCATAGACAGCAAATAAAAACATCTAACGTCCTAACGCGTGCTGTGTCTGAATGGCTGGAAGCCAATATGGCTCCGCCCATGCGGTACGACTCCTCTCCGGCTCTATCGGTCAATCCGTTCAGACTGGGCTGACTACCGGTCAATCTATTCACGCTGGGCTGAGGCCCAACGACACCAAGCGCTGGGTGCTGCCCTTCGGGCACCGCAACCCCACAGTGCGGGACTGCCGTGGGTCGCAGCTCCCGGGCCGCCCACGTGCTCGCAGCGCGCACATGGCTCCGCCCCGTGACGTCACCGTCTCGGCGGAAGCGGAAGTGATGCTCATTAGCGGAGAGGCGGGGAGTTCCTCCCGCCCTTTCCATTAGGGCGGGGCAAACAGAAAACCGGGCGCACTGATTGGCCGTGCAGCGAGGGCGGGAAGCAGGAGGAGCAGGGAGTCGATTGGCTGTAGTGCTGCTAGGAGCAGGGCGGCGCATGCGCAGGGGGAGGCGCGGTGGGCGGGAAGGCGGCGGCGGCGTCCCAGCTGCGGGCGGAGGGGCGGGGTGAGGAGGAGCGGGGCGGCTCCTCCTCCTCCTCCTCCTCCTCCTCCTCCTCCTCCTGCTTCCCACCGGGCGGAGGCCGCGGGCGTTCGCTGCTTTCGGTGCCGGGTCCCGGGTCCCGGTAGCGGCGGTGCCGCCGTTTGGGAGTTAAAGCGCCGCGTGGTGGCGGTTGAGAGCTGCTCGAGTGCTGCGTTACGCCGCGGAGGGCTGGAAGGAGGCGGCCGGAGCGCCCCGAGTTCTGGTCATGCTTTATTCCTTTTACCTCAGAGCTTCTCCTTCCCTGTGTGAAACGCATGGCGAACCGGGGCTGCGTCCTGTGCCGCTGGAGGGGGCGGCTGTGGCCGGCGAAGGTAAAATAAGGCTGGGGGATGGAGAAGGGTGAGGATGGCAGCCCCGGTGTGGGGAACAGCGCTGAAATTGGGGCTGTGATCCACGCGAGGGGCGGGGCTGACGGCTCAGCTGGGTGCTGTGGGTTCCCTGGGAGCGTTTGAGTCGGGAAAAGGGGGATATATATTGCAAAGAAAGCAACGAAATGCTTTCGAAAGTCGTTGTGAAGTCAGGCCTGTCCTGCAGCCTCCACGCACTCATAAAGCCCATGAAATGCCTCTTTTTTTCGTGTAGGTTTTGTCAAAGCCCGGGCTTGCTGAGGATCCCCCTGTTGCCAACGCACAGGAGGTTCTGGAGGTTGAAATAATCTGCTTAAAAGAGAGGTGAAGTATCTCTGTTACCGTTTTCTTTCTGCTCTTACATGCAAGCAAAAAAAAAATATGCGAGCTTTAATGTGAAAGCATCCATGCAATCAGCTGAGTGACTGCAGGGTGGTTCACAGCCTCATTCTGTTGTGTTTTCAGGGTCAGTGTGAAGCAGGAGGATGCTGTGCCCCTGGAGGAAGCGAGCATAGAGGACATCGTCTCTAACTTAAGTGAGCGTAGAGCGTTTGTTGCCTGCTGCGTTTTGTGCTCAGAAAATCAGATCTTCAGTTTGGTGGAAAATAGTGTTGTTGTGTTTCCAGGGGTGTCTCCTGTGGTTTTCTCCCCTTTCTCTCCCCATTAAATCAGTGAAGATTGAAAATAGACTAGATGTTCTTAAGCCACTTGGGTTTCTCCTGAAGGAATGGGGAGGGAACTTGTGTGTACCTGCATGGCGTTGTTACCTTGTGCTGTTTGCTTCTTCGCCTCAGAAATCACAGATGGTTTCGATGTTGCCTTAGGAAAAGGGTGTAACGTAGATGCAACTCTGTTTCTGGTACACTAACAAAGGTGGTTGTGCTTACTGCCTCTTCTTCCTCATCAGGTGAAAAGATTGATCCGGATGAGGCTGTGGAAGAACTGAAATATCGTTGTGCTCTTAAAACTGCCTTGGATTCCTTGGAAGAAAATGTACCAACCAGAGAAGAGCCACCTTCGAAGGCAGGGCCGAGTACTCGCTCGTCCCGGGCAAACGGTGCCAGGTCTCTTTCATCTTCCCCATTAAGCAGCTGTCAGCCACTCTCTAAGGAAGACTTGGAGTCTGAGAGCCTCAACAGGAAAAGAAAGCAGAGAAAAAGCCCCAACCTGAGGACTGGTACGAAAAAACAAAACCTGAGGTGTTCTTTAATTCCAGAGGAGAGTCCTGGAGCGAATGAGAACAGAACAAAACTCTCAAAGCGTAGCACTGGGGAGCTGTGCAACACCTCAAACTCAGACAGCGAGAATTGCACGGCACCAGGATCGCTGCTGTTATCAAGAGAGAAAAAAACAAAGCCCAGATGGTTGAAAAAATCCCTAACGAGTAATAAAGCCTCACTGAAGCTAAAGGAGGAGAAATGTAAGCAAGGAAGGAGAGCAAGAGGTACAGGATCACCTGGGTCGCTTCCAAAAGGTTCCTCCAAAGGCCGAGGGCAGCCCCCTGCTGAGGGCACTTCTGTGTCTGCATCCTGCAGCTCTGGCACGGCGCTGCCTGGGAGGAGCAGGGTGAGCACCAGGCAGCAGCCCAGAGCCCAGATGTTACTGTGCTCATCTTCCAAAAATGCCTCTGACTCACAGAGGAGCACTGGAAGCGAGAATAGAAACGGAGCCAAACAGGTAAATGAGAGGAAAAAGGCAAGGAGTCTGAAGCAAGCGGAAGGAAAACAAGAGGCCGAGGCAGGAACGTCCTCGTCCAGGAAGAAGGAGTGCAGAAACAGCCCTGAGCCTTCAGCTGGGCTGTCTGACTGCAGAGTGCTGTCTGATGGCGTTCTCTCTCGGCTGCAAGAGGAGGAGGATGAGGATGAGCCGCCTGAGGTTATGGACAGAGCAAAGGAGTTCCACCTGCCCGACTTTGAGGAAGAGGAAGGTGGGCACGCTGCTCTTAGGGTGTGCAATCTGCATTCCTTCTGATTCACAGGCGCCGTTTATCACTGTAGCAGTTGTGTTTTTGTGGAGGTGGTTCTTGAGCTGCTGGGTTGAATCCTTCTGTGTTTTTAAGTCCTGGGGAATTCAGGTTATATAAAGGGACAGAAGGGTACGGAATCCTGAAAGCAGCATCCTTTCCTATGGCTCCTCTCCCTTTTTTTGCCTCGCATTCAGGCTATTTAGCCAGGCTGAGGTCTGTGTGGTGTTACAGGTGCCCTGTGGCTCACGTTGCTGTGGGGTGACGCTGCTGCTCTCACACTGGGATGAGGGTGAGGGCTGTGCCACGCTCACAGCTGTGTTGCTGTTGCAGGACTGGAGCCCTCAGGGCTGTCTTCTGAGAGGGCGTTCTGTGAGAAGCTGTGTCAGCTCTCAGATCTGGTGGAGGAGGAGGAGGAGGAGGAAGAGCTTCCCAGCATTCTGTCTCATCAAGGTGAGGCATGGGTGGTATTTC